CCTCTCAGGGGCTTCTGGGAGTTGTAGGCCCAGCCTCACCTACTGCTAGCCAGGCTCCCTGGGCCTAGTAGGCCTCTGGTGGCACAGGCCAGATCATGACAGCAAATCTACAGACATTCTGTGCGATTATTGGAGTGCAATGATAGGTCTGTCCCACCTGGTAGCAACCAATGTTCCCTCTAAGCTGTGGAGTCTCGTGAGCAAAAATTCTACTTTGTGAGCTACTGGCATTAAAGTTGTGAGCAAACGATTTGGCTATTGCATACATTAGTTTGCTTTGGAGTCATCCTTCCTGAGCAAAGACAAAAATGTATGAGCCGGAGGCTGAAAAATGGTGAGCTAGCTCACACTAACTCAGCTTAGAGGAAACACTGGTAGCAACCACAACAAAGGAAGCTCAGGTATAGGCAGCTGTCAATCTCACCCACTGGCAGGGTGGCCCCTTCAGCAGACTTTGCTCAGATTAGACGGCGAGCCACAATAGGTCACTTCAGGAGGGGCCGTCCTGCAGCTGTGCGAGACCTAGGCCATGAAGAGCTTTGTAGGTGATGACCAATATCTTGCACTGAATCTGGTAAGTAAGATGTCAAGATTGTTTTTGTACCAGATGCAGCAGGCGAGGGGGCTAGAACTGGGGGCTTGTCCCTGCTTGCAAAAAAAGATCACTAATGGCTCTGCTTTCCATATACACGTGGCAGACATCACGGGCCTGAAAGAGGCTGAAGTTACAAAGCGTTACAGTTTCAGTGGGTAGCCGTGTTGGCCTGCCATAGAACAGCTAGACTGAATTTCAGTAGCGCCTTAGAAACCAACAAGATTTTTGCAGTATCAACTTCCGAGAGTCAGAGCTTCTTTCATTAGATACCTGAATAAGGGAGCGTTGACTCTTGAAAGCTCATACTCCAAAAACCCTGTTGGTCTCTAAGGTGCTATCAAAGCTTTATAGCTGCTCATGGTCTAGTTTCAGAGAGTCTTGGGCTGGAATCTGATGAAGCAGGTTATTGTCCATGAAACCTTAGGCTAGAATGAGCACTTGATATAAGGAGGAGGAGGAGGAGGAGGAGGAGGAGGAGGAGAAGAAGAAGAAGAAGAGATTGGATTTATACCCCCACCCTTCACTACCCGAAGGAGTCTCAGAGCGGCTTACAATCCCCTTCTCTTCCTTTCCCCACAACAGACACCCTGGGAGGTAGGTGGGGCTGAGAGAGCTCTGAGAGAACTGCCCTCGAGAGAAAAGCTCTGAAATAACTTGTGACTGACCCAAGGTCACACCAGCAGCTGCACGTGGAGGAGTGGGGAATCAAACCCGGTTCTCCCAGATTAGAGTCCGCGCTCCCATCCACTACGCCAAACCGGCTGTGTTTGTTTTTGATGGGCAGATTGTGAAAGGACCGTC